ATTTTTAAATTAAATTCAAAATATCATGGCAGGTGGGAATGGTTTCCACTTTGGAGCCGTGGCAGTTAACTGGTGTTTGTCCTAGGGAAGCAGGTTCAAGTCTGAAGGACTGGAAGTGATCATTCTAGATATTGAAATTCTGTTTCCAGGCAGAAATGATGCTCTGTTATCTCCCATGGGATCAGGAGAAGATGTGTCATTCCTGAATTCCTTTGAGACATTTCAGCAACTTAGATGATGTTGTCAAGAACAGTTGCCCTGGAAGGAATTGGCTTATTTTAATGGGAAAAAGAGGAAAATGAAGTCGGTTAATAAGGACCAGAGCCCCGGGCCAGACCCCATGGCTACACAGGAGGTCTGGAGAGCACTAGAAGGCAGACAAGAATATTGATAGATAGCATACGGCAGAATTAAAACACAAGTTGGCTGAAAACTCAGATATGCATGGGGATCCTAATACAACAAGACTTTTTGGGTATGTTTGGGTGATGTCCTGAGACTTTCTGTATTCTGCTGGCATTATTCATCTATAAAATGGCTCCTTAACTTTTTTTTTAACTTAAAATTTTTTTTTTATTGAATTCAGAGAAGAAGGGAGAGGGAGAGATAGAAACATCAATGATGAGAATCATTGATTGGCTGCCTCTTGCTTGCCCCCTACTGGGGATTGAGCCCACAACCAGGGCATGTGCCTTTGACTGAAATCGAACCTGGGACACTTCTGCAGGCCAACGCTCTATCCACTGAGCCAAACCATCCAGGGCAAAAATGGCTCCTTAGCTTTTACTTTCTTTGCAAAGTCATAGGTCTGATGAGAGAGGTAAGAATGTGGGACAATCATGGGCTTACCTGTTTGGGTTGACAAATTGTGGAGTAAATTGTAGAGGAATCATTATTTTTCATTGGTATTGGGATTTCCGTTTTCTATAAAAAGGAATCATACTCATTGGGCTCATGCAGACAAAGAGATACTCATGCAAAGATATATTCCCAGAGAAAGGAAGTGTGACAAAGTTCTAGGGGGTGCTTAGCAAGGGGGGCTAGAGACCAAACACTGCCAGCTCTCAAACCTGTGAGTTTAGTGCAGGGGTGGGCAAACTTTTTGACGCGAGGGCCACAATGGGTTCTTAAACTGGACCGGAGGCCGGAACAAAAGCATGGATGGAGTGTTTGTGTGAACTAATATAAATTCAAAGTAAACATCATTACATAAAAGGGTACGGTCTTTTTTTTTTTTTTAGTTTTAGTTTTATTCATTTCAAACGGGCCGCCCACGGCTGGTTTAGTGGCATTTTCTGAACCCCAAACAGAAGCACACCCCAGCGAACCAGTGGGATCAAGAATCAAAGACAGAAGGGTGCCTTTCTTAGCAAGTGTTGTGAAGAAAAGGAAGCATTCTTGTCCTGAACCCAACTCTACTGTCTTTTGTCTCAGATCTTTACTGGCTGTACCTGGACGGTGCTGCCTGCTCCATTTTGTCCCTGTGGCTCTACCTGCCTGGTCATCAAGTCATTGTGTTCTCCTCAAGCAGGGGGAACCGGTAGGAGAAACATCTGGTATTAAGACTGGCTCTGCTTGGAATACAAATTATAGCAATAACAGAAGTCCCCTGTGCTCAGAGGTTTTGACATTTAAAATTAATTTAAAAATATTCAGGGTGTTTTCAAGATCTCCAAAACTCTCCAAAGCACAATTTTACCCTAAAGAAAAAGTTAAATTTGCAGATTAGTTTCTTGGTTTGTTGAGAGTGATTCATCTTGTCTTCAAGAGGAAATGGGAAGGACAATAGAAATATCTGAACAGGCCCTAGCCAGTTTGGCTCACTGGATAGAATGTCAGCCTGCAGACTGAAGGGTCCCGGGTTCGATTCCAGTCAAGGGCATGTGCCTCGGTTGCAGGCTCCTCCTGGCCCAGGCCCTCCCTGGTCAGGGCTCGTGCAGGAGGCAAGCAATTGATGTGTTTCTCTCACATCGATATTTCTCTCTGTCTTTCCCTCTCTCTTCCACTCTCTCTTAAAATCAATGCAAAAATATCCTCAGGTGAGGATTAAGGAAAAACAACAACAACAACAAGAAATATCTGAACAAGTAAGAGTTTCCCTTCATGTTCCCTTTCTTCAAGGAGCTTGCTTTACAAATACCTGTGAGGGACTGTATGAGGGGATCAAAGATTTCTAGCTAGACTATTGCTTCTGTCAGTTGGAAAATGATGAGTCTCTAGATTTGTTTTCAGATGACAGGGAAACTGGCCTTCCTGGATGTACAGTGTTCATTAGAAATGTACCCCCTGCAGGTGGTGGGGAATTGTTGATGCCTGACCAAGGCCATCCGGTTCTGTTGCTAAAGGGGTGGGGAGGATTGAGGGCTACTCATGTCTTTACTGCCCTCTACTGTGGAGGGGGTGCACATTCTTGTCCCTCTTAAGGAGACTGCTTCTGAGCTCTGCTACTTTCCCTGCTACTGATCTGTCTCCTTTGGAAACTCTCAAACTTAATGGAACTTTGATCCACTCAGCAAATATTTACTGAGCACCATGCTAAGACATAGGGGAAGGGAGAGGAAGACGTAATTTTTACTTTCAGGCAGCTTGTAATTAAGCTGAAGGATACCAGACTTCCTGATGCATTAAGCAGTTGGAGAGCAGTGTCGCTACGGGTGTGAGTGAACATTCCACTGGGGTCAGAGCGGTTGGGGCTGGAATGGGCCTGCGTAGAACTTAGTAGCTCTCGGTAGCCTTCTCCTCTCCTCAATGGTGTACATTGTTTGGATTAGTCAGATGACTGTGGCGACAAGTCTTTGAATCATGATATAACAGTAATGCTCAGGATGGAGTATGAGGCTGAAAGGACTCACCGTGTTTGGATGAGTGACCTGAGCGTACACAGTGTTCTCTGGACTGGCTGGCTCATTCCCTGAGTCGCCCCTCGGGGTCTCTGCTGCAAACACAGAGAGGCACAGTCAGCTGCAGAAGCATTCTCCCAGACCCTTCCTACCCCGGGACACTTTCTGGCCCTGAAGATGCAGTTGTTCAAGGCATTGCTATTCCTTAAGGTTCATTCATTTTTGACAGTCTTTGAAATTCTGCGTTGAACCAGAAACTTCTCAATCATGGGATCTATTTTTGCCCTCATCGCTTGGGGGCACATAGTCTTGAGGTACCCTAAAGTTTCAGCCTCCCATTGAATTCACATGTGAGCAAGGAAGCTAATAGGACCAAATAGGACCACGTACTTATGAGCTAGAGATCCTACTGGCCAGCATAATGGAACTGGATTATTTCACATACCTGTGATTAAACCTTTCAGAGGTCCTTAAGGTGGGTTTGATTATAGTAGAGACTAGAGGCCTGATGCACGAAATTCATGCAAGAGTAGGCCTTCCTGGCTGCGGAGGGTTGGTGGGGAGGTAAGAGATCAACCGAAGGACTTGCATGCATGCATATAAGCTTAACAAATGGGACGCAAGACACTGGGAGGCGGGTGAGGGCATGTGCCGGGGGTAGGGGAGGCTGGGGGAAGGTAATTTGGGAAAAAAAAAGGAGACATATGTACTACTATTTGTGATACTTTAAATAATAATTAAAAAAATGTAAAAAAAAAAAAAGGGTAGGCCTTCCTTCCCCTGAGTGCCAGCACCAGCTTCCCTCTGGCACCCGGGACCCGGGCTTCCCTCGCAGCCCCAGCTTCGTCTGGAAGGTCGTCCAGAAGGACGTCTGGCCTACTTAGTGTACTATGCTTTTATTATTATAGATAAGGAACTGTAGGCTCAGGTAATTTAATTTACTTGGCTCAAAATTATACAGGAAATGACCGAATAAGGAACTTAAATGCATACCTTCTGACTCCAAATCTTATGCCATGTCCTTTACACATGACATTACATATCTCTCCCCCAGGAAATGAGACTCAGTGCTAACCTGAGTTCAGAGTCCGTATTCCAGTGTCTCTATCACATTCTCTCTTTTGATTGCTTTTACTCAGTTCCCAAACCCTGGGTGAACAGTGATGGGGTCAGGCAGTTTGTCTTTGGGCCTCTGCTGCTCTAATCCTACACCTGCCCTGGACTTGCTGCGGGATCGTGGACAGGCCATGACCCCTTTCACTGGCACTTAGCTTTTCCATCAGCAGGGTGGGGAATGGCCCTAATCCCACTCCAAGAAATTGTGTCAGTGACTGGTCCACATGCTTGTAAAGCGCCCTGTAGGTCCCACAGGGAACAAACTTGCACAGTGACAGATTCTGGTGCCATATGGTCCATCTGCATAATGACATTCTGACTCCATCCTCTCCAATTATCCAGCCCTCTGCCTGGCCCCCTTCTCCTTCAATTTGGCTATTCCCAGCTGTTTTATGACTGGGAGTTAAGAGTCTAGAAGCTCACCAGGACTCTGGGTTTGCTGAGTAGAAAAGTATAAGGAACCTGAAAAATAAAATCAAGGAAATAGAAACTTGTGACTGTAACGAGAGAGATCTTCTACCCCTCCAGCCCCATAGGTGCCTCTCCAGAATATGTGGTGGGAGGAGACCAGAAAGGTAAGGGCAGGCAGGACCTGAGGACCTAACTTCCCAGTAGGACCACTTCTCAGGAAATTAGCAGGTGTGGGGTTAAACCCCAGGTGTTGTCCTAGTGGACTAGCTGAACCAGAGTTTGCATCCTTCCTCTCTTTCCCTGTCTTCCAAAACATAGGTAAAGGGAACCCAGACTCAAAGTCTCTGAAACCTTGGAGAAAAGACAAGTAAGAAGAAAGAAAACCTGCTACTCTTTTCTTCTTCCAGACAATTAAGGGCACGATACAGATCAAAGAAGGCACTAGTATACTCAATAGGATAACCGAGAGTTGACTTTTTTCGTTAAAAACACCTGAAAAGAAAAAGAAAAAGAAGTTGCACTTAGGACAATTGAGTAAGGCTCTGTGTTCTTCTCAGAGCCTACACTTAACCTCTTCTAGCCCACTTTTGGGGGGGGCAGGGTGGGTTCATCTCTACCCAGAAGCTCTGGGGCTCTGGGCAGGATTTCTGGGAGTGGGAGACAGGGCAGGGCAGGGCCTGGTAGAGCCAGGAGAAGGAAACAATTCTGCCTTCCTAAGGACTTTGCTCTTGGGCTCTGAGTGTGTTGCAGGAGGGTTGAGGGGGTGTGTGTGGGCAGGGGTGGGGGTGGGTGAGGGAGGAAGGTGAGACCTCTGGGAGTAGACATTGAGTGTCTGTCTTCTCCCAGCATATTTGGCTGCTTCCTATTGGGCTGCTGTTTGGGGAATCATGTCAGTTATGTGGTCACGCCACACCCTACAGCTGCTCAAGACTTTCAGAGAGACCTGAGACAGACTGTTACCTTTGCAGAGACTTTGGACAGAGAAAGAGAAGGATAAATTGCTGACAGGATTCTTAGCTATGCAAGTGTATGTCACTTCACTGGAATTCTTGGGCTCCCAAGAGATAGTGAGGTTTGCTTCCTCCAGGATTGTGTTTCCTGCGACCTGCCACCTGAACGAGGCATTGTCATTTGGATTCTCCACAGAGCAGGTCAGTTGGATCTCACAGCTCCCATTCTCAAAGAGTTGAGTGTGATTAGCCACTTGTAAGTTCCTCAGCCGTCCTGTGTGCAGAGAAAAGACCCAGATTAAGGACAAATGGTTTGGCTCAGCCCTCTGTTTAAAATGTCCTTCCCCTCAATGTTTCTGTATTCTACCCGACACTCTGCTGTATGATCTGATCTGTATACTCTGTAAATAACACTGTTTATGTTGCCTAATTGATGGGATCAAGGTCTGGGGTGACCAAATGATGAGGGACATTGGTATGAGACAGAAAAGCCAGTGTGAGAAACAAAAAGTGAAAGACTGAGTTTGCCACCAACTAGTTGGGTGATTTGAGGCTGATCACCGTACTTTTTCTGTACTTCAGTTTATTCCTGGGGTCCTTTATAGCCTTTCTGTTTTGCCTCTTGTGTAAAAACAACTTGCAGAGTAAGCTGAGGGCCAGCCCTACCTTAGCCAGGTTAGAAAACAGAGCCAGGTACAAGAGTCCTGTTTCATCCATAATCAGGAATCCTCAGCTGGGGTGGAAGATGGAAGCTGATACCCTCGGGGAACTACACTTCCCACAAGTCTCCAGGAGTTCTGGTCCTCTTTGCTTATGATGCTGGCTCCAGCAGGGACAGAGAGACCCTGATGCAGAATGTCAGCAGGACAGAAAAGGACACGTTGAGAACCAAAACATTAGGGAAGAAAGAAGCGAAGAAACTGAGAGAGCAAGCAAGTTCTTCTGGGCAGCAAAGAAGTGCAATGTATTCAGGCATCTGAGAAAGCCTTTACTGCAGAAATTTATGATAGCAGAGACCAGAAAAGATTGACTAGTGAGATATCAGTAGCTATGGATCAATGGGGACATGGGAACAGTACAGAAAAGGTCGCTGACCTAGACTTGGCCTAAGATGACCCAGTAAAGAACAGAATGACTCCAACTGTCTGATTAGAAGAGACTGAGTAATGTTTTAAGCTTAGTTAACCAATTAGGACTAGTGGAATCTATCTTGCCAGAATGGAGCTTTTATGTAGCAGCAAGAATGTTGGATTTGGAGTTAAGACTTGGTTAGAATCATTACTTAGTTATTTAATGGCTACTTGACCATGACTACATTGGTAATTGTTTCAAGCATCTGTAAAACTGGGCAAGAATACCTACTGCTTAGGTCATTATGAGGGTTAAATAAGACAGAGCCTAGCACAGCAATGGCAAATACTTGGCATGAATGTCACATCTCCCTCAGCCTTTGTTCATGGCTGACCAAAAAGCTATATTATTACCTTTTCCACCTGACGAATTTGTAACCCCATCTACTTGACATTTCCACTTGGACATAATGTGTATTTCCAATGCAACATGTTCAAAAGAACTCCTGTTTTTCTCTCTAAAACCTGTTCCATCCGCAGCCTTCTCCATCTTTGTCAATAACAACTTTATCCAGTAGCCAAGAATACCCAGAATCCAAGCACTTCTCACTACTTCCCCTGCTACATCCTGGTCCAAGCCAGCATCATCTCTTGCTTGGATTGTTGCAATGGCCTCCTTATTGGTCCAGTGGCTTCCACCTTTGTTCCTTACAATCTATTTGCAACGGAGCAGCCAGGAGATCTTTTAAGCAAGTAAGTGAAATCATATTACTTCTTTGTAAAACCCTCCAATGGTTCTCAACCGGACTGAGATTTAGAATCTAAAGTCCAGCCAAAACCGGTTTGGCTCAGTGGATAGAGCATCGGCCTGCGGACCTAAGGGTCCCAGGTTCGATTCCGGTCAAGGGCGTGTGCCTGGGTTGCGGGCACATCCCCAGTGGAAGATGTGCAGGAGGCAGCTGATCGATGTTTCTCTCTCATCGATGTTTCTGGCTCTCTATCTCTCTCCCTTCACCTCTGTAAAATGTCAATAAAATATATTTTAAAAAAATAGAATCTAAAGTCCATATGTTGGCTCTCAGAGCCTTACATGACGTGGCCCTCAATTTTCTTACTGAACCTTGTTTCCTATTATTCTCTCCTCACTTTGCTTCTTGATGTTCCCTGAACATGCAAGGCATGAGAAAGTACATGTACTGGATGTTCTTCATCCAGATATATTCATGGCTTACTCCCTCACCTCCAACAGGTCTTGGCTCAGATGTCATCTTCCAAATGAAGCTTAGTATGACCCTGTAATTAAAATTAGGCCATACTCCCTGTTGGCAATCCTGATGCTCTTATGCTATTCTAATCTATTTTTTTCTCCACAGCATGGCTTTCTTACATACCGTGTCATTTGTTTATACATTACATGTATTGCTTATTACCTCCTCTTACTCTCCACCCAGAATATCAGCTCCATGAAGGCAGGGATCTTTGTCTGTTTTACTCATTGATACATTTCAAGTGCCTAAAACAGTTTCTTGTACATTGTTCATAGTCAACAAATATTGTTAACTCAATGAATAAACTTAACATGGCCTCAATGTCTTTTTTAACAGTGAACTTGAGCCCAACCGGTGAAGCTCAGCAGTTGAGCATCAACCTAGGAACCAACAGGTCACTGGTTTGACTCCTGGTCTTGGCACATGCCCAGGTTGTGGGTTTGATCTCCTGTGAGGGGCATGCAGGAGGCAGTTGATCGATGATATTTCTTTTTCATTTCTGTTTCTATCTCTCTATCCCTCTCCCTTCCTCTCCCTCTCTCTCAAAATAAAAAAAACACACATATTTAAACAAACAAAAACAATGAATTCTAGGAAGTTACTCCCAATTAGTTGATCATGGCCTGTAAGATAAAATCTTTGCTATCCTTAGCCTGGTATATGAAGTAATTGGTTAATGTTTTATTTTATTTTTTTAAAAAAATATTTTTATTGATTTCAGAGAGGAAGGGAGAGATAGATAGATAGATAGAAACATCAATGATGAGAGAGAATCATTGATCGGCTGCCTCCTGCATGCCCCCCACTAGGGACTAAGCCCACAACCCAGGCCTGTACCCTTGACTGGAATCAAACCTGGGACCCTTCAGTCCACAGGCCAACACTCTATCCACTGAGCCAAACTAGCTAGGGCTGGTCAATGTTTTAAAATACTATATAGTTCATACCTTGAGATTCCTCTGTACTGCTGTAAGACATGTTGGTGTAGCTTGCACATCTCTTTGTGTATGTGCCTTTGAAGGAGAGGTGCTCTAAAAGACCTTGAGGAGGGATGGACATTGAGCCTCCGGAGTGTGGTTAGTGCAGAAGAGTGTGGTCTTCTGAGTGGTGGCAGAAGAATGTTGTAATGGAGCCTGATATGGGATCTGTTCCCAGACTTTCCAATGGATGTGTCTCCTCTCTCCAGGACCCTAGTTCTGCCTTGATGACCACTGATTACCCAGAGTGGTTCTGCCTATAGTTGGTTGAATGATGACCACCGCTTCCCACCCCCCACCACACACACACACACACACACACACACATCACACACACACAGATATTCTAATTCTAAGAATCTTATTTGGAAAAAAGGTCTTTTGCAGATGGATGAGATGATCCTGGATTATCTATCTAGGTGGGCCCTAAATCCAGTAAGTGTCCTTGTAAGAGAAAAGCAGAGATATCTGAGACAGACAGAAGAGGAGAAAACACAAGGAAGAGGTAATGTGACCATAGTTCTCCAAGGAAGACAAGCATTCCTGTCACTCATTGGCATCACTGATTGCTAGACGGATTTTCTTTTTCTGACATTGACTCATAAACTGTGCAATTATAGTTTCCATAAGTTTATTTTGAGGACCCGAGCTATCTGGGAAAATATTGTTTTGTTAATTAAACAACCTTGCTAGAAAATACATTTCTCTTTTTTAACTCATCCTTCTAGAACATTTTCTACATAGACTACTGTTCTGTACATTGACCACTGGGTCAGATGAACCTTTGTATAAAGGGAGGCATCATACCCGCTAGTTATATGGGAAGCTCTCCCACTTACTACCTCTGTGATTGTAGGGTGTTGCTGTAACTGACCTCAATCTGGCTCCTAATGCCATAGTCCTTACTACTAGGCCATAGCACATATTTGCAGTCACATAGAATTAAAATATGTAATATTTCTTAGTCTACACAAAATTAAAAAATCTAATCTTTGACTCACTGAAGATCGACAGATTGTACTCATACATCTCTCTGGAGGTTGTTGTGGTTATCTGGGCCCGGTAAGGTCCGCTGTCTGCCATTGTCAGGTTGTTGATCTGCAAGGAGGAGGACTGGATGACTTTCAGTCGATCTTTCCGTGTTGGATCAGTCACCTGGATGTGTGCTGGATCTTTCGGTATGAAGATGATAGATGCTCCATTATGAAGCCAGGTGATGGACTGGATCTCTTTTGCAGAAAACTTCAGGGGGAGAGTTACCGATTCCCCCAGCACTCCGTCCACCCTCAATGGGAGTGCTTGGGTTTGTGAAACTGTGTTCCCTATAAACACAGAAGGGAAACTGTTGAAATGACTATCAAAAAGGCTCCACCCCGACAAAATATTTGGCACGCTTTGTTAATGGACTGTTAGCCCCGATGATCCTGGCACAGTTTACTCTCCCACACTGGCCGGTTATCCTCGGCCATACACACCATCTCACTCCAGCCCCTGAGTTCTTTCTCTGGGCATGAGATAGAGGGGGACAAGGAACTACATCAACTCCCTGCCACAGATTCCAAAACCACAGTGTTTGCTGATAATTTATAATTAAAACTCAACATTTACTGATGACCTACTATGTGTCCAACATAGTGGTCTTGTGAGATTTAGAGGACAAATAATCAGAATTTACAGTTCTTTTTATACATTACTTCATTTGATGCTGACAACAATTTCTGTGAGGTAGGTAGATGAGTGCTATTATCTCAATTTATAACAAAACTGAGGCATAGAGTAGTTCACTAGCAATTTCCCAATTTTCCCAGGGTTACATAGCTAAAGAATGAATCAGGATTCAAACTCAACTACTTTGACTCCAACTATTTTGTGCTCTTTTCAGGATACTAAAAGTCATCTTTTCCCCTCTCAAAAAGATTATACTTAGTAGAAGAGATATACATAAAAGTAATAAATATCATTTAAAGGGAATATATAATGGCCATATTCTAATGAGCTTATCTCAGAACCATTAATGTTTGAGCAAAAAAGGTGAAATAGTCACAAAGATTCTTTAAAAAAATATGTATTTTTATTGATTTTAGAGAAGAAGGGAGAGGGAGAGGTAGAAACATCAATGAAGAGAATCATTGATTGGCTGTCTCTTGCATGCCGCCTACTGGGGATTGAGCCCGTAACCTGGGCATGTGCCCTGACCTGGGAATCAAACCGTGACCTCCTGGTTCATAGGTTAAGTTTCAACCACTGAGCCCCACCAGCCGGGCACAGAGATTCTTAAAGAAGATGCTTTCTTAGCATCCTTTGCCAAATACTTAGATAAATGCTTAAGTAAACAATTATTACACTCTTTTGTAGCCCTCTGTTTGTTTGTCTAACCAATCAGGCTTTTTTTAAAAATATATTTTATTGATTTTTTACAGAGAGGAAGGGAGAGAGATAGAGAGCTAGAAACATCGATGAGAGAGAAACACCGATCAGCCGCCTCCTTCACATCTCCTACTGGGGATGTGCCCGCAACCCAGGCACATGCCCCTGACCGGAATCGAACCCGGGACCCTTCAGTCCGCAGGCCGACGCCCCATCCACTGAGCCAAACCGGTTTTGGCAACCAATCAGGCTTTAATTATCTTTGCATTTCAGCACTGTACCTGACACAAAATAGTATCTGTTTCAGTGAATCAAACAATCAATCAGTAACTATAACCATGACCTTAACCTTCTTGAGGTCTCTTTATTCTCAAGAGAGGATCTGAGTAGGGGAGGAAATGTCTCTTGGAACCCTTTCACTCAGCTTCTCGGTGAGCTCTTGTTTTCCTGAATTGTCTTGTGGATGCCAGGCACATGAACATTGCCAGCATCAGTACTACCTCCCAGCACATCTTTCCCATCAGCACTTTGACATGCTGGTATTTGTCATCTTAACTCTTCCCTCTTGAAACCATATGAGTAAACATCACAAGGAAAAATCTTGAGAGAAAAACCCCCAGATATAAACAGAATACACGATATGATTCCATTTATTTTAAAGCTAAAAAGCAGGCAAAACAAATCTGCTATTTGAAGTCAAGATGGTGGTTACCTTTCAGGAGGTGGGAGGGATGACAAGTAGGAGGGAGCAAAAGGGAGAATTTGGGGGAGGGGAGCTGATAATGTTCTATTTCTTGGCCTGTCTCTGTATATGCAAATGTATTCATTTTGTACATTGAGATGATACTTAGTATTTGTTTTCTCTCTGTATGTTAAATTTCAGTAAAATATATTAAAACAAGAACAAAAAACAAGGCAAAAGAAAATAATGACAATGACCTACACAGACCAAAATGTTCTGGTTATTTTTCTCTCTTCTAACTAATGTCCCATCACTGTTCCCTGTGTTCACTTTGCTCAAACTACGCTGGCTTGGCTATTCCTTGAGATGGTCAGGACTGCTTCACTTGCAATTCTCTACCTGGAATGCGCTACTTCCTGGTGTCCATGTGTCTCACTCTTTTGTCTCCATAGGTCTTTCATGCCAGTATTCCCTTTTAGAGACCTTCTGTGGCAACTCTTTCCTCATCACTAGCCCTTACCTATACACTCAGCTGCTTCCCCAGTCACCTGAGCTGGCCCCTCCAGATGCACCCCTGTGTGGGCTGTGTGCACAATCTTGTTTTAGCTGAGCCTTGATTGCCATTGGCATCACTGGAAGGAATTGGCCTCCAGGCCAATTGGCTGTGATGACAAGCTGTGACTACAGCAGAAGGGCTGCTGTGCAGGAAACATCCTTACAGAGCAGAAGTTGTTTCAATGGGGCTTTGGTGTTCACTGAGTCTGCTCCTTGAGTGTGTCACTTGTGGATGTGTAGAGTTGTAATCTGGTATGGTCTAAAGCTCTCCACCAGATGCACTGGCTCTGGGGCCTCGTGGGAGGTGCAAAGTCAGCCATTTCCTGGGGTTACAGAGAGATGTGCAGATGGCTGCTATTTGTATTGGGCTTGGAAGTGCCCAGAGGAGGCCCAGCTATAAAGCAAAGCAGGCTGGTCTTAGTGTTGGGTCTTAGGCCTCTTATTGATAGGTTTGGGGCATGCTGATGTCAGTTGCAGCTTGTTTGAGAGATTTTAGGAAAGTCTGGAGCCTGAGCTATGACAGGCCATTCATATGGAAAAGCTTATGCAAACAGCTTGGGTGGGGCTGCAAATTGGATGGGGCAGGGTCTCAGGGAATCACCAGGGTGGAGTAAACAATGTAAGTCAGGCTGATGGAGGCTCAGATGTGGCTGCCAGTCAGCACTGTGATGGGGGGAGTCTCAGCATAGGAACAATGACACCTGTGAGCACCCCTGTCTGGGAGAAAGCCACCTTAGGGTTCTTGCCCCAATACCAGACAATCCAGTTCCTGCCCATATGTCCCTGGATTCCCCAAAGACACTGCCTGCTACTGGAACTTAGAGGAAATGGTACCATGTTGGCCCTTTAAGAGGAACTGCCTGGGGCTCCAGCAGCCTCCATATCACTGAATGACAATCCCCACTGGTTTTTATAGCCCAAAATTATAGGGACTTCTCTTCCCAGCTCTGGAACCCTGGGATGGGGGTCTGGTGTGGGTCTGGGACCCCTTGCTTCTCATGGGAGGCCCTTGCATCTGAGATATCCCTACTGATTGAAAAAAACGCCACATGCAGCTGTTGGGCCAGCCCAGTCTGCAACTCTCCTCCTTCTATCAGTCTTGATATACTTTCATCTTTACTTCTGTAGTTGTAGGACTTCCATTATCCAGATTTCTGATTTGAATGATGGTTGTTCTGTATTTCAGTTGTAATTTTGATGTGATTGTGGGAGGCAGCGAGAACTGGTGTTTACCTACACTGCCATCTTGGTTCTCCTGTTTTTCCCCTTTCTATTCCATAATCTTGAGGTAAGAATTATGTTTGTTATTTCTATATTCTTAGCACTTAGCACAATTTCTAGATCAATAAAAAATATATTATTGATTCCAGAGAGAGTAAGGGGGAGAGAGAGAGATATATAGAAATATCAATGACGAGGGCAAATCATCGATTGGCTGCCTTCTGCATGCCCCCAACTGGGGATTGAGCTCAAAACTCAGGCATATACCCTGACAAGAAATTGTACCATGACCACCTGGTTCATAGGTCAATGCTCAACCACTGAGCCATGCTGGCTTGGCTCTAGCTCAGTAAATATTAATCTGATAGCGGTATGTACTCCATGCTAGCACACATAGTGAGAATGATGATCAGGAAGAGTTGGGGTGTGCCAGGAAACATTCCACAGAGGAGATACTATTGAGCAGAGTTTTGAATAAAAACAAGAGGTTCTCCATTGTTCAATTATTTGTGATTCTTCCAAGAATGCCCTGCTTCTTCTTTGTTCTTTGTTTTCTTTGCCTCAAACTCTCTTTCCCACCTTTTTCAGGAAGTGAACTCCTATTGATCCTTCAAGGATGAGCTCAAATATCTCTT